CCTTCAAATCATACTGTGTGTTACCTCCAAATCAAACTGTGTGTGCGACCTCCAAATCATACTGTGTGCGACCTCCAAATCATACTGTGTGTTACCTCCAAATCATACTGTGTGTGCGACCTCCAAATCATACTGTGTGTTACCTCCAAATCATACTGTGTGTGTGACCTCCAAACCATACTGTGTGTGCGACCTCCAAATCATACTGTGTGTGTTACCTCCAAATCATACTGTGTGTTACCTCCAAATCATACCGTGTGTTACCTCCAAATCATACTGTGTGTGCGACCTCCAAATCATACTGTGTGTGCGACCTCCAAATCATACTGTGTGTTACCTCCAAATCATACTGTGTGTTACCTCCAAATCATACTGTGTGCGACCTCCAAATCATACTGTGTGTGCGACCTCCAAATCATACTGTGTGTTACCTCCAAATCATACCGTGTGTTACCTCCAAATTATACTGTGTGTTACCTCCAAATCATACTGTGTGTTACCCAAATCATACTCGTGTTACCTAAATCATACTGTGTGTGTTACTCCAAATCATACTGTGTGTGCGACCTCCAAATCATACTGTGTGTTACCTCCAAATCATACTGTGTGTTACCTCCAAATCATACTGTGTGTGTTACCTCCAAATCATACTGTGTGTGTTACCTCCAAATCATACTGTGTGTTACCTCCAAATCATACCGTGTGTTACCTCCAAATCATACTGTGTGTTACCTCCAAATCATACCGTGTGTTACCTCCAAATCATACCGTGTGTTACCTCCAAATCATACTGTGTGTGTTACCTCCAAATCATACTGTGTGTTACCTCCAAATCATACCGTGTGTTACCTCCAAATCATACTGTGTGTTACCTCCAAATCATACCGTGTGTTACCTCCAAATCATACTGTGTGTGTTACCTCCAAATCATACTGTGTGTTACCTCCAAATCATACCGTGTGTTACCTCCAAATCATACTGTGTGTTACCTCCAAATCATACTGTGTACACCTCCAAATCATACCGTAGGTTACCTCCAAATCATACTGTGTGTTACCTAAATCATACTGTGTGTTACCTCCAAATCATACCGTGTGTTACCTCCAAATCATACTGTGTGCGACCTCCAAATCATACTGTGTGTTACCTCCAAATCATACTGTGTGTGCGACCTCCAAATCATACTGTGTGTGTTACCTCCAAATCATACTATGTGTTACCTCCAAATCATACTGTGTGTTACCTCCAAATCATACTGTGTGTGCGACCTCCAAATCACCTCCAAATCTTACTGTGTGTGCGACCTCCAAATCATACTGTGTGTTACCTTCAAATCATACTGTGTGTTACCTCCAAATCAAACTGTGTGTGCGACCTCCAAATCATACTGTGTGCGACCTCCAAATCATACTGTGTGTTACCTCCAAATCATACTGTGTGTGCGACCTCCAAATCATACTGTGTGTTACCTCCAAATCATACTGTGTGTGTGACCTCCAAACCATACTGTGTGTGCGACCTCCAAACCATACTGTGTGTGCGACCTCCAAATCATAGTGTGTGTGCGACCTCCAAATCATACTATGTGTTACCTCCAAATCATACTGTGTGTTACCTCCAAATCATACTGTGTGAGCAACCTCCAAATCATACTGTGTGTGCGACCTCCAAATCATACTGTGTGTGCGACCTCCAAATCATACTGTGTGTGCAACCTCCAAATCATACTGTGTGTTACCTCCAAATCATACTGTGTGTGTGACCTCCAAATCATACTGTGTGTGTTACCTCCAAATCATACTGTGTGTTACCTCCAAATCATACCGTGTGTTGCCTCTCACAGTTGCCAACTTTTGAAAAACATATCCATGTACTCTATGCAGCACCGCTATCAATTCCGTACTTGAAAAGTTACCACACCCACTGCTGCAAAGCATCGCCCACTATGTCCAACCCGCATAATTAATCTGTGCCTACTTATTCGCCACGGTCAGCCAGGTCAGCCTACTGTCCGCCAGGGTCACTGGTACAGAGTCACTGTCCAGCCGTGGTTACTGCTACAGAGTCACTGACCAGCCCTGGTCCCTGGTACAGAGTCATTGGTCAGCCATGGTCCCTGGTACAGAGTCACTGGTCAGCCATGGTCACTGGTACAGAGTCACTGGTCAGCCATGGTCACTGGTACAACCCTGTCCAATCTCACACTTGGTTAAATTTATCCTTTACGAAGAGAGTATTTATAGCTTTGCTCTGGATTTACTGGGTCACTGATGAGAAGCTGACAGACGGTGACACTAATTCCAGCTTAATCCCAAACAGTAATAATTCCATAACCTTCAACAGGACAAGTAATGGTGACGATTAATCCCTCCGTGGCTGGGCTTTTAACATCCTTAATTCCAAATGTATCAGGTACCGGGAAAGAATCCCACGAATATCTCTCCACGAGCCTGTCTGCCTTTTACAACAAAGTGGTTCACTTTCTTTCAAAGGTGATATCACGCCTTTCAAAGTAACTACTAAACTGGTCGCTAGGTCAGTCCTAGTACCTTTAATTATTATTATTATTACTTTAATATTTCTATAGCACCAGCTAATTCTGTAGCACAGCCAGGGATTGCTTTATTGATTAATGTCCATTAATCAATAAAACATCAATCTTTATTAATTAAACCACCAATATTGGTGAAGTAATAGGAGAAATTTTAGGATGTGACATTCCCTTGTCAAGTCTCAAAAACTGCCATTTTTTAAAGGAAATTGCTAAGTATTGTACCTCTTGCTCCTTACTGCCAGTGGTATCAAAGCAGAAGGGAGATATTTATTATTCATGGTGAATTTAATCCACAATCCGCATTCATCACATGTATGTATGTGTGTGTATATATAAGTGTGTTTGCTTGTATGTGTGTGTATATATGAGTGTGTTGGTTTGTGTGTGTGTGTGTGTGTGTGTGTAAGTATCTATAAATATATATATATATATATATGAATGTGTGTATATACATTTGTGTGTGTGAGTATGTATGTACATGAGTGAGTGTGTTTGTATATGTGTACATATGTGAGATTGTGTGTGTGTGTGTGTGTGTAAGTATCTATATATATATATATATATATTAAATGTGTGTGTATATACATTTGTGTGTGTATATGTATGTATGTACGTGAGTGAGCGTTTTTGTTTGTATGTGTGTGTGTATATGTGAGATTGTTTGTGTGTGTGTGTGTGTGTAAGTATCTATATATATGAATGTGTGTATATACATTTGTGTGTGTGTATACCGTATTTTCCGGCGTATAATACGACTGGGCGTATAAGACGACCCCCAACTTTTCCAGTTAAAATATAGAGTTTGGGATATACTCGCCGTATAAGACTACCCCTCTTCCAATGCACACCAAATAAAAATTAGCCATGATGTACAGTGAGCAGACAGAGCTACACAGCAAGACATTAAATAATGATAATCTGAAATAGCATTTAAAGCCCAGGTATGTGCCAGGCATATAATCAATGCCTGCTGGTCTAGCACACAGGAGGCTAATTGCGATATATTCTTTTTACTCCCCCCCCCATTCTTTTTACTCCCCCCCCATTCTTTTTACTCCCCCCTCCATTCTTTTTACTCCCCCCTCCCCAATCCTTCCTACATTATTCTCACCTCCCCTTCCCTGTGCAGAGTGGGTGGCCGAGCTCCTCTTCATCCTGTCAGTCGGGCCGGGTACCGCGCGGTACAGGAGATTCAGTTACCTGTTCCCAGCCGGACTGAAAGGAAGTGAGCACTCAGTGAGCAATTCCTTTCAGTCCGGCCAGGAACAGGTAACTGAATCTCCTGTACCGCACGGTACCCGGCCGGACTGACAGGACCAAGAGGAGCTCGGCCACCCACTCTACACAGGGAAAGAGAGGTGAGAAGAGAGGCAGTGCGGCAGCTGTCTAAGCGCTCTCTATAGAGCGCTCAGGCGGCTGCAGCATTAGAAGGGCCGGCAATGGGGGCACAGGGCGCCCCCGGCAGCCATATACCTGGCGTATAAGAAGACCCCGGACTTTGGAGAAGATTTTCCAGGGTTAAAAAGTCGTCTTATACGCCAGAAAATACGGTATGTATATACATGTACATACATGAGTGAGTGTTTTTCCTTGTATGTGTGTGTAAGTATCTATATGTATTATTGTGTGTGTATATACAGTTGTACGTACGTGAGTGAGTGTGTTTCTTTGTATGTGTGTGTATATATATGATATTGGTGTAAAAGTATCTATATGTATGATTGTGTGTATATACATTTGTGTGTGTATATGTATGTATGTGAGTGTGTGTATGTATGTACGTACGTACATACGTACGTACGTACGTGAGTGTGTATGTATATGTATGTACATGAGTGAGTGTGTTTGTATGTATGTGTGTGTATATATGTGAGATTGTTTGTATGTGTGTGTGTAAGTATCTATATGTATGATTGTGTGTATTTACATTTGTGTGTGTATATGTATGTATGTACGTGAGTGAGTTTCTTTGTATGTGTGTGTATATATGTGAGATTGTTTGTATGTGTGTGTGTGTGTGAGTATCTATATGTTTGATTGTGTGTATATACATTTGTGTGTATATATGTATGTATGTACGTCCGTACGTATGTGAGTATGTTTGTTTGTATGTATATATGGGAGATTGTTTGTATGTGTAAGTATCTGTGTTCGAGCATAAAAGCCATAATGAGTGTAATTGTTGTGTCCCAGTGTGTTTCAGAGAGTGTACAAGAGTCAGAATGTCTCTCTTCCCTTTGTCCTTACTTTTTAAAACAGAAATTCTCTGCACGCCACTAGTTAATAGGACCAATAGGGAACTGTGGGTGTGTCTTCCCTACAGACTATCATCTAGATTTTGGTCAGTAGGTGGCGCTATTTCATCACCGAAAATTCTTGTCAGGGGGTCCATTTACCTTTCGTTTAATGGGTTAACTGAATTTGGTGATGCGTTTGACGTAATTTTGTTATCTCTTATGGCTTCTATATATCACAGAACCTAATAATTTCAAAGCGTTTTCCCAGTCTGGGTGTCTGCAATTTCTGTCGTAAAATTAGATTTGACACCATAATGGAACTAGTAATGTTCCATACATTTTTTAGAAAGTAAAATTAATTACTTAGTGTTATCTGTTATTTGGTGTCTGTCTGGTTTTCTTGTCTTGTTTACATAAGTCGCATTCCTTAGCTCAGACTTGAATGAATAGATTGTGATAGAGAGAGAAATCTTGTGTCTGTCTTAGCCTTGTAATACAAAATGGAGTCACCTCTGTTCTGAGGGCGACTGGCAGAATGCACTTTTAGTTTCTGTCTTAACACAAAATGCCTACTGATATAAATATACTGACATGTTGCAAGTGCATACGTTCTGAATAATTGGTGTTAACGTTCTAATGGGGCACTGGTTTCCTTGTTCGGGAAACTAACAAGTTGGGAAACAATCCACAAAAGATCCCCCTGGCTTGCGTTCGTCTGCACGAATGGGGGCCAGCCAGAGGAGTGCTCATTACTTGTTTCCTTTGCAGTTTGCGGTTTGACACTATGTTGCGAGATGTGAAGGTTCTAAACCAACATTCTAAATGGGTTATCAGGGTGGTCCCCGTTTGGGAGGCAAATTAATTCCCTTTGTGGAAGCACTCCTGAATGGGGAGCGGGAAGCAGATATGAAAAGATGGGGAAACACACATAATATCAGACAGACAATTCCCGGACCAGTAGTGGACCAGTATGCACAATGGGCATAACCCACTATATACAAAATGGAAAAAAGAGAAAACTAATGAGATTAGGATTGTAATGGCCAATTTTGCACACAAGAGGTTAAAAACCGTTTAGGCGATATTCCTCTTTCAGATGCACAGACAGCTACTGCAATCACCAATCTCCCAAACTGCAAACACATGAAAACTCTAACTCCTGAACTGCAAACACATGAAAACTCTAACTCCTGAACAGGAAACACATGAATGCTGTAAACAGCTGAACAGGAAAAACCATACGAACAGTTTACACTCCTGGCAGTCGCACTGTAACAGCATACAATCCAATTCCCCCCAAGAACAAGACGACTGATTTACTGGGGCTAACTGCCCCGCTTTTATGCAGGTCTCCTACCTGGCGGACACTCCCTAGGGGACCAGATGGAAGACTGGGAAATATGATATTGGACGTGATAATCCACAAACACAATCCCACAATGCATCACAATCCTTCCTCTGTCTGGAGATAATTACGGGAAGTATACAAAAAATACAATGTGTGCTGGCACTCAATTATGTCTAGGTGCAGGTATTCGAGGTTAACCCCAAAACAACCTCCTAATCACAATCATAAATAAATAAATATGAATACCGCACTCTATTTAGTGATAAATACATATAACACTTGTTGTTATTGCTGAAATAAATTCATAATGTTTATTCTAGATAAATTTATGTAAAGTATAATAGTAGTGATGTTCATTTCATCCTGAATACATCAATTATATACAAGGAATATATACAATATATACAGAATCCTCCCGTGTGTGGGGTAAAGTTCATCTAATGTATATACTCTTGGTAATGATCCTTATAATCGAGAAAATTTGAAAAAAATGGAAAAATATAGAAAAAATTGAAAAAATCCCAAATTCAGGGAAAAATAAAAAAAGGAAAAAAAAAAAAGAAGAAAAAAAGAGAAAAAAAGGAAAAAAATAAGAAAAAAATATATAAGAGTCCTGGTAGTCCAAAATGTAGTGCACTATATGTAGCTGTATATGGGTGGATTTCACCAATGTAGAAGTATTTTTCCTGGTATACACAGTCAGAGTAAAGTAGTAATCAGATGATGATATGGATGAAGGTGAAGGTAATTTCTGATGTGGCAAACAGGCAATCACTCCATCAGGTCCCAGTGGGTGTGTGGTCAGAACA